CATCACTGTACACCAAACTGACAACTCGCTGCAAACTGTGAAAGAAAAAAAAATGAGAAAAAAGTTTGATGTCTACACGTAGACGAATGTCGATTTAATTACAACTCCATAAACTTTTGTCCTTTTTTACACTGATAAAAGATAAAAAAGGACACATACTTAGTCTACGTGCAACTGCTTGACATAAATGATGAAGCAGTAAAGAGAAATTCGATAAAAATTTACATCAATAATACGTCGAAGTATCCCTACTTGATGAAGCGCTGCTTGCTTGATAATGCTCGTACGAGTAGTGTGTACTACGTACTATGTAAAATAATAACTAGAGCTGACAACTTATTGGACACTGGATGGAGAGTAGCTACGGTCTCCAGTTGCTGGTACTAAGTTGTTCATAATAATTTGTACATCGACACAGGACATACTATATGTATGTATGTATGTATGTATGTTTAAAATTACTTGGCACTCACAATTGTATGTCAGTTCTATTGTATGTATGCATGTATGTATGTGTGTATGTATATATATATATACATACATATGTGTGTGCTAATGTGTCTGTCCGGTGGTTGACTATCGAACGAGTTCTTTAATTAACTTACTTGTCATACATGTTGCGCTGTTTGGCGTACATGAATAGATTGGCCATTGGATCCGAGCCAGGCGATAGCAGAAAGACCAATGGGATTCTTGGCGAACTGTCAGCAAATGAGGCATTCAAATCGAAGAGTGGTGGCTCCACAAATGATTGGTCCATGTTGCGCGTAATGAATGTCTGTAAAATGCATGTGCAGATTAGATTGTAGAAGAAATGCTGAGAGTTGTGAACAAATTTTTGGTGAAATAATAAAAACTGAAATTTTAAAAAAGATGGATAAGGATATGTATTGCTACATAGCATCGAAGCATACTAGTTGGCATAACTTTGAGATTATTTACATACATACATGTATGTATTTATATAGTCGTTGCATATTGTTTGGCACAACCCCCCATGGACCCTCACTCCTTCTAAAATTTGCAACCAGAATTGCAACAACATACAATGCAGAAAAGCTTTGACTGTCATTTGGCTAATAAAAATGAAAACTTGTTGGCTGTGGTTAGCTTGCCAAGTCTGATTTTGGTTGCTAACTACATCCGTCATTATGCAATTCCTTGCAGACCAACAAATATGTTCGCATTCATAAGTAAACTTATGCATTCATACATATGTACATACGTATGTACACCTGCTTTCAACTAATTAGAAACGAAATTCAAAATTATATTAATATAAGTTTCAAAGCTTGCAAAAATTGCGAAAAGAATTTATCAAACTTCAAAAATTGTCATCAAAATTTCCAAATTTTTATTCAGAAAATTTTCAGGTATTCAGTTCTGTAGCCCATTCAATTGCAGTCTAAGAAAGTGCAAGTCTCAAGTTCTTAAAAATTACCGTTGATTTTTTAAAATTTTTTTTGTGGAGGGTGTTGCGGATTTTTTTTCATATAAAAAAAAATTTTGATCATGTGTTATATGGACGAAAATGCGCAACACCCTCAAAAAAAAAAAAAATTCTAAAAAATGAACGGTAATTTCTAATGATTTAAGACTTGCACTTGCATTTTCTAAATATGCTGATTAAAAATTTGGAAATTTTGATGACAATTTTTTGAAGTTTGATTAATTTTCCTGGCAATTTTTGCAAGCTATGAAACTCCTGTTATTGTGGTTTCTGTTACAGATTGAACTATATTTTAACCGAAAATTATTTAAAAAAAAAAAATACATAATTGGCAAACAATATCATTTTGAATTTCGTTTCTAATTAGTTGAACGCAGGTGTACATACATACATATGTACGTGTGCATACATGCACTTGGCTAAATGGGCACTAGTAGCTCCCTTCATATTCCCTCGTTCACTGTTACTTTGCCCAATGGTTGCTGGCCATTTTGGCCCAAATGTATTGACGTCAAGCCAGCAGTCAAATAGCGCGGTTGTCATTTGACATTTCACAATTTGGCAGTTGACAGTTGGCATTAAAGTTATGTCGGTCAAGCAGTGCTTGACAAGCACGAACGTTGGTTAAATTTGGATATACAAAGTGGTATACATATCCCTATGTATGTATGTAGATATGTAGTAGCTTGCTTGCAAAACGAAAAGAAGTTTTCAGTGGAAACGCTTGAATTTTACGCAAAATGTAGAGACAATGTTTGCGCAGCTACAATTATCAAGATCGAAGGTTATAGTAATTAATGTTTGGCAAACCTCATTGCCAGACTGTGAAAGCAATGAAAATGAAAACTACATAATATGCAAATATGTATGTACAGTAACATTTTGAATGCACATTAGGGTGGATAGAAGACGCACGAATTTTGGAATTCAGATTCGGTGGAATATAAAACAATATATAAAATTACAGCAAAACCATTTCAGCCCGATCGATTGATATCACCGTGCACCAAACAATTTTACACAGAAAAATATCAAAAAACCACGTTTCTAGTTTTTTTCTTTGATGTCGGGATTTTTCTTAAGAGGACTTTAAAATTTTAGTTCAAAAAATTATTTAAAAAACTTAGTGCAATGTAGAATAACAACAAGGGCATCAACGAAAAGAGAAAATTCTGTAGGATTAAACCATTTAAATTTTTGGTGCATTAGAACAACGAAAGGTACTGAAATAGTTCTTTCAAAATTTTATCCTTGAATATCCTTGAAAATTTGCAATATGTATTTTTGCAAAAAAAAACTATGTTAAGAACTAATATACACACGATTACATCATCAAATTTCGCCATCCTAACCTTATTTACGATTATTTTTTACGTTGTCTGATAAACGTTGTAAGAAAAGAATATTGACGAAAACGGAGAGCAAGATAAAGATGATGAAAATAAAAGAGGAGTGAAATAACTGTTATCAAGCAATGTAAAAATAAACGTTGGCAAATAACAGTTATCAGGCAACGTAAAAACTAATCGTTGGGTTATAACTCTTATTGGCGAAATAAAAAAATATTTCTCATCTAATAACTGTTATGGAACAAAATTTTTTCGATGAAACTTATAGTGGTTATGTCCCTGCAAAAAACTAATTTATTTTTTAGTTCTGCAGAATATTCTCTTTCATTTGGTACCCATAATATTGTTCTACATTACAATGAATTAAAAATTCAAAGTCCTTTAAAAAAAAATCCTTAATACCGCAGTTTCACTATATCTGGCCCTTAGTTTCTTGAGTATGTTGTTTGTTTATGTAGTATGTTTTACCATTTTTTGTTTTTTTTTTGGTTTCTCCCAAAATTATTAAATGCAGCTATCAGAGCCCTGCTTGGACTTAATTTGGTAGTGTTCATGAATAGATTCATGTTCTTTTCAAAGAGTCACAACCCCTTCGGTAACAGTTTTAAAGGAATCAGCAGCGATTGAAACCTGTGGATATAAATCTAATACATAGTTATCTCCTCTCTTAGCGGTTTCAAAAAAAAGGAGTTTTGGCAATAATTGCTTAAAATGGACGCCGACACTCCTGTGCTGAAAGCAAGCAAGAAGAACATCCTTATTCGTCGGACAATGAAACTATGGCATACTGCGAAAATCACCTAGTAGTAGATAGTCAGAAATACTTCTTGTGTAGGCCATTGAGCCCACACAATGATACATCAAGGAAGCAAAAAAAAAAGAACGGTAACAGGCTGATAAACACCTAAAGGTATGCGCAGCTAATGTCAGTAATTAGACGATGTGGAAATAGTAAATATCTATCAACCCGGCAGCAATTTTTCGTGCATTAACTAGAAACGGTTATAAACGTTTTTCACACCCCGCCGAATCCGAATTCTAAAATAGTTTTTTTTTTTTTTTGCGATTCACCCTAATGCACATACAAATAGTAATATCAGAAAAGCCGAGTGAGTGCATTTACAAATGCTTGCTGTGGATTTTGGTGATGTGATGCTACTAGTATTTCTACTGGTAGGTAGGTAACATTTCGTAGGACATCGCCATATTAAAAATATCGGTAATATCGGTAATAGAAAATAACTGGTTTAGCTGAAAAGCTAACTGGTTGTATTCTAGTTCAAAACTTTTAACAATGATTATAAGAAAGTAGTTAACAAAAAATTAAATCGATAATAATAACAACACCGCTAACGATACATATAACGATATGAATGACGATTTTTTTCCACTAATTAATAACTTCAGAAAGAATATGAATTATTAGATCTTCGGCCTCTATTTTCTTATTCCTTGATATTGTTTGATATTTATGCTTAGTTGTTATTTTAATAGTACACACTTTTTTTAATCTCCCACTTGTTCTCGTTTGCTTTGCTTACAATGATGATTTTTACTACAAAAAATCGTATATGTATGTATGTATGTATATATGTATGGAAGTACTTACCCTCACCGCGGGCGCAACTTTGTCTGGTCGTAGACATTTCAATACAATTAAGTATAGCATTTCTTCTATGTTATCGTAAGGCTTCGGTAGCGGTTGCTCCTCAGGTGATGATAAATCATAATATTTCTTCCAAAGATGAATGTCCTTTGTAAATTGTTTGTAGAAGTCTTTGAGGCTGCATTGCAATTTTTCATTATAAAATATAGGGTAAAGAGAAAATACATATGTACATATGTACGTACGTAAACATATATTTTATTTATTATTACATAACAGTTTATAGTTGCGTTTAAACGGTGTTCACATGTGGCGATTTTCTAGGCAATTTTACAGGCGATTGGTTCAATCTAAAGTTGGCTACAAAATATGTT